GGCACTAGAGATCAACGACGCTCTCGAATCATGGGAGAGCCGACAAGAGGGGTCCTGGGCTGTCATCGAGGAGCATCTCGAAGACGTCTTCCCTCCCGAGGCAGTCTTCGAGGGCTGCTACCACGTTTATGAAGATACATACACGGCGCGGGTCTGGAACCACTACCGGTGGGCGCACACCATGGTCAACCAGATGCTGCTGGAGAGCGTTGACCTGTTTCCGGCGAGCAGCGCGTCGCTGGTCACGGCCGAGCAGCAGGAGCGCTCCCTCGACAGGATCAGGCGTCTCGCGCGGGACACACTCGTCTCCATACCCACACATTACCGACATCCGGCTCTGCAGCCGTCCCACTGGGATTACTTTGAGAGGACAAAGTCTGGAACTGGGATCGGCTTCGCGGGGATTCCTACCCTGCTGTTCGAGGTCAAGGTTGCCGTCTGCGCGCCTGGCGTGTCGGACTATTACCGGCGGTGGGCGTTGGGCATGCTGGAGACGGCGTACAGGGACACCGGCATGTTTCAGGCCCGGGCGCTGGCCGGGTTTTTGCGGAAGATGCTTGACGACGAGGCCTCGCGGTCGGCGTCGTCGGCGTCGTCGTCTCCGTCGAGTGTGGGGGAGGGGAGCCCTGACACCAGAGGTGCCAGGTGGACACCGTGAAAGAGGAGGTCACATTGGTTCTTGGGGGGTATCGGGTCGCTGGCGTGCTGCGCAGTCGGCGACTGAGCGGCTTGTCATGGGGTGGGGTGGGGTGGAGTGAACCTTGGGGGTGCCCGTCCCCATTCAAGACGATACATGAGAGATTATGTGCCTCTCAGGGGGGAAGTCGAGAGAGATCTTTTTAGGTTGAGCAGGCAGGGCCGGGTTTTCGTGCAAAGATACCTGTTTGGCACGGGGCAATCCACGGAGTTTAGGGTGTTGATCAAAATCTCGGTCATATCATCATCATCATCATCATATAAATATATTCTAATACCCCTGACCATCTTGGTTGACAATGCTTCAACCAACTCAAGCCAAGCGACTGGTTCCGAGCACCGCCTTCTATCGCGCTTTCTTCGGCTTTCTTGCAGGTACATTTTTGTTTTTCGTAACCGCCACCTTAGACGCCGTGGAAATGCAAATCTTTATCTTCCGTAGTTACACCCAAACACCTTTCCCAAAGCCAAACCAACCAACCCCAGACAGGCAGAAAAACAGCCCAAATCTGACTAACTACTTAGTCCTGATTGATGTTACTCCCATCCACGCGACTCTTGTACTTTTTGGCCTCGATGTCGTCGTCGACAGCCCACGTCTCGGCGAGCGCAAACGCCGGGTCGGGCTCCGGGTAGCCGCCCAGCGAGCGCCGCACCTTGAGGATTTCGTCGCGCATCCGCCGGGCGACCTCGATGCGGATGGCCTCGGCTTCGGGGCCGGAGCGGAGGGCGTCGGGTATGCTCTCGGGCGAAAAGAGCTGGTGCTGCTGCTGCTCCGCGCCGGGGGGGTTCTTTGCGCGCTCCTGTTCGCGCCGCACGAGCCCTTCCCACTTTTTCTTGAGGTCCCCAAACGTCTTGTCATAGTCCAGCACTTCCCCAAAGGCCACGCGCACCGTCTTGCCCACGCGCGGGAGGAAGCGCGGGAAGCCGCGGTCCTCGGGCATGACCCGCTGCGTGCCGTCCACAAACATGGGGACGATATCGGGCACGGGGTCGGCCTCGAGCACGAGGCGCGCAAGCCCCCATTTGAAGTAGCGCAGGTCGGTTGAGGCGTGCTGGTGCACGCACCCCTCGGGGAAGACGTGGACCCAGGCGTGGCGGCGGCGGAGGGGGTCGGAGAGTAAGGGGGAGGGGTGGAGATCCGAGCCGGTGGTGGTGTAGGTTAGTTCGGAGGGGGGGAGGGGGCGGGGCGTGGAGAGCAGGCGGAGGGCTTGCGTTATGGCGGGTTGGAAGGGGCCCCCGAAGGGGGAGTGCTTGAGGCGGTGGCAGGGGAGGACTTGGCCGGATGTGAAGAAGTTGGAGACGGTTCTGAGGGGGGCGGGGTTAGTAAGGGGAGAGAATGGGGGGAGTTCAAGGGGGAGAGGGGGAGAGGGGTCAGTTACTTGTTGGCAAAGCAGATGTCGGCCGCACCTAGGGTCCATCGCAGGTTGGCGGGGTCAAAGGCGTATCGGAGGGGGAGGATGCCCCAGACTACCGGGTCATCGACGCTGTGTGGGCGGCGGGGTCAGGATCTCGGAGGTGTTTCTCAGCAGCATTGGGACATCACACGGCTGGCACTCACACGCTGATGTGGTTAGAGACTGGTTACAAAGACAAATCAAGAGTCAGCTTCCATGTTGTTTGCTGTCTATGAATATAGGAAACTCGGCGCACCAGTCAACAGCCCGCGCTGTCTGCGCGCGGGATCCCGGCGGCTGTCGAGCAGGTCGATGAAGCGGGCGAAGCCCGTGATCTCGACCTTGTTGAAGCCGTACAGGAAGCACTTGGACAGCACACCCGTCATGCCCATCACCATGGCGGATTTCAGGCGCAGGGAGAGGCTGCTCGATCGCGGGGGGGCCGAGGCCGGCGGGGAGGTTGACGGGGTCGCCATGGCGCGGGATGGGAGTGATCGCGAACGCCAAAAATACTCAAAAATCGCGGGGTCGACACTTCCACTTATATGGCCTCATGTCATGGCAGTAGATTCCATCAATCAATCAAGCAATTGACCGACGAGAAAAGAAAGGAGAGCAGGCAGGCAAGAAGAAAGCACGCAGAGATAGGCGGGAAAGGAAAAAAAAAAAGGACCCCAAGAGACCAACCAAGAGACCAAACAAGAAGCGGCTTCAGCCGAGTCGCTGCTGCAGGTCCCACCCAAGGCCAACCCAACAATTGTTGAGACGCCGGCGCTCAATTAAATTTCCTCAGCGAGTCGCGGCTGCGAAGACGCGCGAAGGGGCAGACCTTTCCCAGCACGTGTCAGACAGGGGTTGCTCCCCGAGCCCGCCGCCCCCCCAGGGTCCCCACAAACCGCTAAGAGCTTGGCCCACAAGGGGGATGCAAGGGAGCTGCACAGTACGAGGGGGCGGGTCGGCAGGGGTCGAACCACACTGCGTCGCAGCGGCAGTGGGCAGTGGGCAGTGGGCAGCTTGAGCTCGCCAGCCGAAGAGCTCTTGTAGTTAGCTGTCAACTGCCAACCACCAACCTCCAATCCTCACGACAACATCAACTACCCCCACATCACACACACACCACACACACCACAACCCCTCCCTTCCACTCACAATGGCGCACAGTAAGCTCCATCAAAACCCCTACTATTCTATCCCCCCCATCTGACTGCGCAGGCAAAAGAAACACCAGCCGGCCCATCTTCACGTCGCACGAGCGGGCCATGGCGCGCGCCGCCTGGGGCTCGTCGACGGCCCGCCTCTCGCGCGACTCATTCCTGCCCCTGGCCTCGTGCTGGCTGTGCCTCGAGCCCGCCATCGACCCCGTCGCCTGCCTGCACGGCGACGTCTTCTGCCGCGAGTGCGCCCTGAGCAACATCCTGGCCCAGAAGAAGGAGATCAAGCGCGCCGGGCGCGCCCGCGAGCACGAGGAGCGCGACGCCCAAGAGGACCAGGCACGGCGTGACGCAGAGGCGCAGGCGCGTGCCGTGCGCGAGTTTGAGATGACACAGGCGGGGCTGAGTATTAAGAGGGCGGGTTCTGAGAGGCAGGGAGAGGGGAGGAGGGCGCCTGATGCGGGCTGGGACAGGCCGAGGGCGACGGAGACGCCGGGGCGGGAATCAGTATTAACTGAGAATGGAAAACAGGGGGAACAGGAAAACGGTGCCCCGAAGACGGGGGACAAGCGCAAGTTCTCACTGGATCCAGACGAGGTCTCGCGCATTGCCGACGAGGAGCGGGCCAAGGCGAGGAGAGCGCTCGATGATGAAAAGGTAGGACGGCCGGGGGAAACCTTTCTCAAAAGCCACCTGCTCCCGGTTATACCGAACTGACCAGCTGACTCTCACCCCCAGACATCCAAACCGAAACTCCCCTCCTTCTGGTCCCCCTCCGTAACCCCCTCCTCCACCAGTAGCACCAACCTCCACGAGGTAAAAAAGCACGTCAAGACCCAACCCACCTGCCCCGCCTCCTCCCAAGACAAACCCCACCCCTACTCCCTCCACACTCTCATCACCATCAACTTCACCGAAGAGCCCTCCTCCGACACCACCAAGAAGCCACAACGAATCTGCCCCGCCTGCAAGAAGGCCCTCTCCAACTCGTCCCGCGCCACCCTCGCCAAGCCCTGCGGGCACGTTCTCTGCAAGAGCTGCATCGACCAGTTCATGAAGCCCGCCGCTGCCGCCGGCGACGCGGTGCGGTGCTACGTGTGCGAGGCCGACCTTACCGCGACACCGCCGCCGCCGAAGAAGGAGGGCAAGGCGGACAGCGGCGGGAAGGAGAAGATCCGCCCCGGCCTGGTGGAACTGCGGCGCGAGGGCACGGGTTTCTCGGCTGGAGGCGCGAATCAGGTCAAGAAGGACACAGTTACGTTCCGCGTTTGATTGAGTGGTTGGCTGTGGAGGGAATGGGGGGAGGGTTGTGCAGGGGCCTGGTTGGAAAGCGACACCTGCGTATAGTTCAATGGGGCGGCGATAGCCTGTGGTGCCAGCTCTCCCGTGTGTCTCCTATACTCCCAGCTTGTTTGCCTTGCAATTCACCCATGGGGGGGTGTGCGCCATGACTGCCATTCCTCGATGTCACCGGACCGAGATCCCCAGGCTCCTCCCAGTTAACCCCAGCGCCAAAATTTCAACCCTGAAGCGCAGCGACGAGGCAGTGCGGATTTGACACCCCCTGGGACAATACAATTGAGTTCCGCCGGTACACCGTGTGTCCAACGCAGTCTTTTGAACTGTTCCTCTCGCACCTCCACGCCCAACCACATTTAGATCCCAACACTGTGCCCCACATCCAAGAAAAAAAACCACGATGTAAACCAAAAAA